TGTCTCTCTAATAGGAGTAGTTACATGGCTCACAAAAACAGCTACAGAAAATAAACTGCCCCACGGTCTGGAAATGGGAGGCTGCCTAACCAGCCGCTCATTCACTCCCACCACTTGGAATGGCCGAACACCTGGCTTTGATGAATCAAGTCCTTAGAAGAACATGTCTTGCTTCTCTTTTTTGGGAGGGTAAGGTATCAAGATTGTGAGTATTCAAAAATTAGCATTGAAGACTGATTGATGGAAATTATTAAATGAGTGCTCTATTTCAAATACAAGTGGGATTGCGCACAGAATCAATTTGAAGTCAACAGGGACGAGTCATCGAGGAGCTCAGTTTTCCTTTAACATGAAAAGGCAACAGCAATGGAAAATGTATAAACTGAAGCAACACTGCTTAACCTTGCTGAGCCTTCATAATGTGGCTCTCATGAGAGCTGGGGAGAGGTTTCAATGAGACTGTGAATTTGAGGTGTCTGGCATACATACAGCAGGACTTAGCAACGCTTCATCTTCTTCTCTTATTGCCTGCCACCCAACCAGAACAACGACTTAACTTTTATCACCACATCTGGTCCCTAGGACAGTGACAGACATGTAACAATTATCCAAGGGGATAATTAAGGGTAAATATTGATGACTTTATTGCCTGGGATGTAGCAAAAAAAACAAAAACAAACAAAAAAAAAAACAAAAAAAAAAACACAATTTGCAGAGTACTAGTGGGTGAATTAAAGATTAAAAATTAGGACATTTCTAATCTTTTAATTCAGTGGAAGCTGGCATACAGAGACATTAGGGAAAGAAAATGAAAATGAAGAGTATTATCTCTAGAACTGCTTGAAATCTAATGCTTCAAAATTCAGCTGGTGACTGACTATGCAGGAGAAATTTTATATTTTTTACACTTGTCAAGGATAAATATTAGAGACAATTCCTAGTTATCTCTTCAAGGATTAAGGAAAAAAGGTCACTGGTATTTCTGTTGATCAAGCAAATAAATTAAATGAAAATGTCCCTCTTCCTCATTTTCCCAACTGCAAGAGAAACCGGGCACATGGCAGAGGTAATAAACAGATCTCAAGTTTAAATGAAGTAGCAAAAGGAGGAAAATTTCAAGGATAAAAAAAATTAAAACACACAACCTGGACTAACAAACTGCTACACAAAGTCATTGATGTTGTCCAGGATTTTTAAAACACTAGAGAGGAATAAACTGGTGTTAGCAAACTCCGATAATTTCACATTAACAATGGCAGAGGTGCACTGTTGTTCATAAAGCCAACTCACAATCTGAATGAAAAAAGAAGTGTCATAACCAAAGGAAAGAAGGGAACAACTCAATTTCTATCTTGCCAGAAATCAAAGGATCTAAAACTCCATTCAAGTGGTGAATGAGAACTAGAAATGGATTCAAATTCCAAATTGGAACCAAGGTCCCACGCAAAATGTTCTAGGCCAAGACACACCCTACAAGTATCTTCAATTGACATGAAAAGTCATGTAGGAGCCAGTTATGTTTACTGTGTGTCTTAAATTTCCTAAGTTCTACTCAAATCATGTACACTCAGGAATGCTCATGATACGCTCTTTTAAAAACAAGTAAACACAATAGAAACTATAATTGATTAAGGAAAACCCTCCGAACGGAGAAGGTAAATAACTTTCCCAAAAGCCTACCTTTTAGCAAGCACCAGAAACAGAGGCATAGGTCCCGTTCTAAGAGGCCATGTTGATGAAATTCTCTTCTAACTCTTTAGGGGACCTGTTATGCCAGCTATGATTAAATGGAAATTTTTGTAAAACCCAGGTTATTCAGATTATTAAAATTACAAAAAAAGTTGTTCATAGTTCTCCCTAGGGGAATGATCTCCAACCCTTCCCAGTTCAATTACCTTCATCCATTCTTCAATTCCATTTAACTCTTAAGATAATGAATAGTATGGTGCCAAGAATTGTTGGCCTTAGTAATTGTTGACAATCAATGAAGATAATAGATACTCAATAAGTGTGCAGAGAACTAAATTCAACTGAACAAAAGGAAAACTGTGTCAGCATAAAAGCTGATCATCTGCCTAAGGAGACAGTGGAATAGGCTAATGATGCACCCTTTCACATCTTGGGAAGAGAAAAAAGTAGTTGAAAGTTCAGAAATGAAACATCAAGACTCCACAATTAAGTACATATGGCCTATCACATCTTTAGACAGCCTTGTCTGCCTACACTCCTCTCTGCTTCATTGAGTATTCATCAGGATCTCGTTTTTCTCTTAGCCACATCCTTCCTTCACTGGGAGTGGGGTTAGGGTGGCAGATTAAAAGAAACAGAACTAGGTTACAAATAATTGCAGTTCCTTCCTTTCCATCTGAACCATCTCCCACACCTTCCAGCTCTAGCACAGGATGTGGAGAATGAATGTTGGGGTAGGAATGTAAACCCTTCTGCCTTTACTTTGGCAGTCAGTCTACTCCAACATGCAAACTCTGCAGAAGGCGTGAAATTAGTTCAGCTTGTCAATCAGGGAACACAGTTGGATTCTGGCTAAGCTTTATCAAAGGCAAAAGGGAAGAAAACATGAAAATTAACTGAATGAGGAACTTTCTCCTCAGGGAAGGAAAAGTTCTTTAAAATGACTTCTCACTGGAGTAAAGGCTCACCCATGGCCCCAGGCCTTACTCTTCAAGAGAAGGAAATGAGAAGGTGACTTTTGGCCATCTACGTTAAGGACAGACTCAAATGCTAAAAATCAATTTACCAGCAATATGTTAATGAGAAGTACCACACACACAATAAGAGGTACTTTAAGTCTGTCTTAGCTTAGAGGATTCCCACCATGGCCCTGGAAAAGGTCATGGTAAACCTTGTCAAAAGAAAATCTGACTGGACCTCATAGAAAATAGAGATTCAAAGGTGTTGGAAAGGACTAACGCTCACAGAATACAGGCCACCTGCCTTATAGCAACATTTGTCTGTCTTCCATTTCATAAGGAAGCTGTCCTGTCTCCTTATGACAGGTGAGTACCTGAGATCCTCAAGGAAAGTTATGGCAAAACCACTTAATTTAGCCACAAAGTGGAGGCACTGTCTTTCCCAAGAGTCTTCATTATTACTATCTATCAAACAGCAACAGCACACAAAGCCAGAGGGAGGTAGAAAAAGAAATGGCAGCCAATAGTCAACCAAGAGCACACCCTCTGAAATGAGCCAGCACCAACTTCACAAGCCACTAGAGCTATGCCACCCATAAAGGATACAGAGGGAAACCAGCTATTTCTGACTATCTACTCAGTCCTTCCTCTATAGCTTGCCTGGAAAAAAATCTGAATTCTACACCATATGCCTGATTTTCATAAAGGTGAAATGGAGATTGCTGAAGCCTATAACAACCTTCACATGATTTGTAAAATGTTCATTAATCCTTAAGGAAAAAGAGGGAGCTTCTATTTGAATTCAGTTACACAAATGAAAATGAAGCTCAAATGCAAAAAAAAAAAGAGGAAAGGCAAGTCAACCTGTAGAAGAAAGCTAAGTTAGCCATCAAGCACATAAAAAGATGCTCAACAGTTAATCATTAGGGAACTATACACCCAAATCTCAATGAGATACTGCCTCATACCCATTAGATTGGTTATGATTTAAAAGAAGAAAAACAGGAAAGAACTAGTGTTGGTGTGAATATGGAGAAAATGGAAACTTTGTATCATTTTACATTTTCCAGAAACTGCACAATCAATATGAAAACCTGTTTGGCAGTTTGTTAAAACTGACAGAATTCTATAAATCCAACAATTCTATTTCTGGATATACAGACAAAAGAACTGGAAACCAGGTCTCAAAGACTTATCTGTACATTCCATATTCATAACAGCATTATTTACAATAACCAGAAAGGTAGAAGCAACCCAAGGGTCCCTCACAGCAATGAATGGATAAACGAAATGTGGTTTATCCATACAATGTTTTATTATTCAGGAAGGGAAGAAAATTCTGACATATGCTATAACATGGCATATAAACCTTGAGGATGTTATAAGTGAAAGAAACTGATCACAAAAGTCAAATACCAGATGATTTTGCTTCTACCGGTACTTACTCAACATCAGACAGGCATAAAGTAGAATGGCAATTGCATGGCTAGCCTTAGGGAATGTGGAGTTATTGTTCAGTGACTGCAGTTTCAGCATTACAAGATGAAGAGTTCTACAGATAGATGGTGTTCGATTTGCACATTAGTATCGGTGTACTTACTGCTACTGAATTTAATAGTTAAGGCTGAGATAGCCGAGGTAAAAGAAATTGCAATAAAGTACAATGAGTTGCCCCAAGTCCTGTTTCAACAGATGGACTAAGTCACGGACTGGCAACATATGTCCAAACAATAGGGCTTATTACACTGCCCATCAGGTGTCATGATAGAGAAAATCCTAGATTCTGAGTAATTATTATATCACAATTTCCTGGAAGGAGAACTTTGAGAACCCATATGTGCAGTAGGACTGTAACCCATCTGACAATGTCTGGGCACAGCTCAACCTAGAAAAGCTATGCTGATGCTCCCTTCCTCCTCGCCTCAGACTTACCCTTTAAATAGTTCCTCCTAACATTTTTTTTTTTTTTGATATATTCTCCTTTCCCAAAATGGTTCCCTCATGCATGAGTTTCTAGTAAAGCCTTGCCTTGTTTGACTGCAACTAACAGTCCCTGCTTAAGTCTTTCCCTACAGGGCATAGAACTCATACTTTGGGGTTGAGGCCCCATAACACAGTGTTACATTTTCTATTATGTGTGCCTCCCTATCTTAAAAACTTGGGGAGAAAGTAAATAACTCAGTGTTTTTCCTTCAAGGAAAAAAAAAATCACCCTACTTATAGCATAGAAGAATAATGAAGAAGAGGCTCATTAGTTCTCCATGTAAAAATAACACATTTTAAGGTTTTCCAATTCCAGACTCAGCTATAAAATACACACAGTCCCGACCCTATCCCCAAGAAGCTACTTACCTCACTGAGGTAAATAAAAAAGGAGCAGGTGGACCCATCCACTCCATATTCTGCGTAGCAGGGATCTGAGCGCCACATATCTTTCATCCACTGAAACAAGAGCAGATAAGAACTGCTAAGAGCAGGTCATATTAAATGCCCTGCACATATGCTGATAGAGAAAGTGAAGGGCTCAAGCTAAGATCTAAAGAGCAGAGAGTCAGATCACAGAGCTGAGGTCAAGACAAAAGACTCTCAGCTCCTAGATGACTCACAGGTATGCAATGGAGGTGCTTACAGTGGAGAGAGGCCATGGTACATACCAGGGTAGTGAAGCTCAGGAGAGACAATGTTAGGCAGTTTTCTCAAAACCAAGCACTTAAGGGAACCCTTACATGGAAGATCCCTCTTTCAGGGGGGAAAAAAAAAAATCAAGTTCCACCAGCTGACATATATGCTTGGATAAAATATGGGAGCCAGTGCAGGTATGCAGTGTTTGTATGAGCCCAAGACCATGCAGCCCAAGACCATGCAGATGCTTCTAGGGTATAGTCTCAGCATTCTAAGTATATATCTGAACTAAAAATTTTCCCTGGAAACTATTGGCAGGGGAACAGTTTTCCCAAGGGCAAGCCATGTAAGTAGGTTTTTAAAGAAAATGTTGAGAGTGAAAGAGCAGCCAAGTGTCCCTGGGTATTAAACTGCAAATGCAACATTTAAATCACTGTCTGGAGACCACAGCAGGGTCCTGGACACAGGGGGAGGGAGTAGTCCAGCAGTAAATAATGGCAGCCCCTTGTACTGACCCTTGAAGGATCACCTACTGGAGGCTAGGTAAGAGGGAAGGCCATTCAAAAGGCACAGCAGGTGCCTGAAATGGCCCAGATTCTTTCTATCCCATCAGTTAGAGCCATTGTTGACTAACCCATGGAGCTGGCAGAAGCAGAGAAGGGTCACCATGGCCACTGTTTCAAACTGGCAGGATTGGGACACCCTTCAAATAACTCCTGTTTCCAACTATACAGATGGAAAACAAAGGGGAGAAGAAATGGGGGTGATAATGCAGATTGAGGATGACAAAAATGAGAACACATTACCTATGCCTTACCTTGATTTTCCCCTCGCAGTGGGGGTAGCCATCCATAGGAGGCAATACACATTTTTCTTGAGCTCCATTAATGATATCTAGAGGGTAAAAAAGAACAAAGGACACTATTAATTTTATGAGACAGAAGTATAACATCTTTATGAGTACAAGGCAGGGAGAAGGCCACACCACAGATTTCTACTGGTAGAAACTGCAGCTGGAATGTGACTGTTGGCTAGCACAGTGAATTCCTATTGCTTGCAACTACAAATCACAACCAAACTGAATGACTTTAGGAAACTTAGTTTAGTGGTGGACAGTAACTACACAATTGAACAACAGTGTAAGAGACATTCTGTTGGGGGGGGGGGTAAGGCAAGGAAACCCATTCCAGTCTTGATGGGCCACAGGGGTATACCTGGATGCCGAAACATCTTAAAGGCTAGATGTGAACTTGGAGTGAGCCAGAAAGGACAGCAGAGAGATGGCATTCAAGGAACTGAGGTGGCCCCAAATGGAGGGACATGTTTCTGAAGAAGTGTGAGGTCCTAAATGGTAGCAGAATCTGGCATCAGACATTGTAATAAATACTCTGGTATTCATGCTAAAGGAATGAGTACTGAAAGGTTTTAAGGGCAGATGGTTATGGCTTTTAATGTAGGGCAGATCCTATTACCTAAACCCATATTCTTGTTTTTGTTTTTTTTTTTCTTTTGGTCTTCCTATATTCTCAAAAAACGCTTGAGAAATGTCACCATTACTTACTTCCAACAGTTTTCTACACATAGTACTAACAAGAAATTAGATTATAAACTCCAATATAACTTGACAATGATATTGTCAATGCAATTTAAACATGGTGACTGCTAGTGCTAAAAAAGTTTATGCTGAGGAGCATCTAACTGTTACCTGCCTCTCAGTTCTTTGGATAGTCAAAATTTCTTGACCTCTTAGTTTTAATGAACATGCTATCCACTAAGTACAGCTAGAGCATTACAAAAAAATCAAGATCTTATCACAGATTGGAAGCAGCATCATTCAATAGCTAACATGGGAGATGCTTAGCCTGTCAGAGCTTGTGTCATCTCATCTGTAAAATCGAAATGACTGCACCTCTGTTTTATTCAGTTCTTATTAAATAAGTTAACATTTGTAGAGTGCAGTCTGGTACTCCCAACAGCTGATACCACAGAACATAGCAGGTGCTTATAAGTTGGCATTCACTAAGTAATTACATACAACATTCACTCACTATATCCAGGAAAACATTATTTCAAATGCACAGCTGCTTCTGGAAATGCTTTCTCTGATTGTGAAATGAACACTGGCTGGAGTTACTAGATGTACCTACAGCTCCCTTTCTCTCACTTATAAGGGGACAACAAAGAAGCCTCCCCAAAGAACCAGTGCTTTTCAGTGCGGCTCCTCTAGTCATTTGTGATTCTGGTTTTGCTTGGTGAAAGCAACCAAACAAATGAAAAACAGTCAAAGTACCAAGAAATTAACCTGGGGATCTGTCTAGGGTATTGGTAATCAGACATTTAAGGGATGCGTAGGGAAAATGTGCCCCTTTCTTCACTCACTAGGTACTAGACCCACAAGCAAAACCTGGCTACTGACAACAGGGATCTTCTTTATTAAGAGTTTTCAGGAACAGGCCCTCCCTGGTGGCGCAGTGGGTTAAACACAGCACTAAGAAGCTAAAGCCACTTCCATATGAGTTCAATCCCTGCCTGCCCTGGAGGTGATCCACATGGTGCAGCAGACCTCTTCTGACCCGCCTGCTGCTCCCCTCAGCAGTGTACTTTGTTGATCTACCTGTTCTGCTCCCCACTCTGTCTCAGGTGAATCCTCTCATCATCCCTTCATCTCTGGCTTGTACCCCAGTCTGTATGCATAAATAAATAAATCTTTAAAAAAAAAAAAGTTTTCAGGAACAAATGTATGTTTATGCCAATGGTCAGCAAAATTTTTCTCATAAGGACCAGAGAGCAGCTATTTCATATGCTGCAGGCCACACAGTCACTGTGTAACTACTCCACTCTGCTGTTGTAGCAACAAAAGCAGCTACCAATAACAGGGAGATGAATAGGCATGGCTGTGTTCCAGTAACTGTTTACAGAAACAGGCTATACACAGGCCTGGGTCTTCTCTGCTAACAATGTCCCCACATGAGGATCCGTTTCTGGGAAGACCTGCTAACCCCACCTTAAGAAAACCTGCAGATGAATCTCCACCAGGAGTCCCCTACTCCTTACCCCTCCCAAGCACCATCCTCTTTCCAGCTCAAGTACCCAGCTCAAGTACCACCTCCAGAAGAAAAGTCCTCCTTTTCCTTCCCACAAATGGCGATCAGGATTTACTTGGGACTGTGCGCTGTCCTTCTACTCATGTCTGTCTCCCCATATGAGCAATGAGCACAGCCCCCTTTTTGCCTTTATGTTTGTCCATCTCTCCCCTCCCCAGGGCAGGCGAATTAGCGGGAAGGTTATACCTTTCTGTTGTAGTACCAAATACGCAGGAAGTGCTGTTTGACTGAATAAGCACATGAATGCACATTCTACCTGACTGTGCACTGAACACCTGTGCTCAGGGGAGACACTGGCTGTGCTGAGACCCTTGCTAGGCTTGGGTTGTTCCTCCACCTCCAACTGGCAGTCTGTCAACTAGCCCTTTAAAAAAGTCTCTGTTGCTATTGCATTGTCGTATGACAGATTGTTCTCTCATTGATTTAGTTATACAATACTGAGTTTGAATAGATAACGAATTCTAAAATTTTAGTTTAAAGGCTCAGGCTCTGGGGCAAAAGACAACTGAGAAAGGGTAAGGGGTCCAGTTGTTCCCCAAATCCTGCCACCAGTAACCTGAACAAGACTCCATTAACTCACAGATCTGGGGGAATTTCAGCTTCTCTGAGGACAGTTTCCCCACTTTGTTCCTGTCACAGTGACAAAAAACCATTAAAAAATGTTTTTATTAATGTGTAATCACAGATTTTTTCCTGCCCATGGAAAAACCTCCAGTCTAAGTTTGGAGAAGAAATTCAGGTTGGAATGATTCATGTTACTGCTTACCAGTAACATGAGACTTTGCCTACCCTTCAAAGGAGACAAGGTTCTATCAAGATATGTTAGTAGGATATTTTCTCTGCTGCTCAACTCATTTTCTACAGCCCCCCCATTTTTTCATTGTTTACTCTCACACATCAGCTTAAATTGTGTCTTCCATGGATAATTTCACCTCTGCACTATTCTAGGGTACTGTCATACAGCTACCAAATAAAAGGGCAAATTACCAGGTGCAAAACATCTGTTGCTTCATTGATCACTTGTACCCATCAAAGATAGTATGGGCTTGAATCTAACAGATTAATCTAAGAGAACGCATTTCCTGTTATCAAAAAATCTCATTAACTCAGGAATAACACAAGCTCAGAAAGAACAAAAGTGGCACAACATGCTGTAAATGTAGCCAAGGAGGGTGCCCCTATCAGGGATGGAGCAGAGCCTCCTGACAGTGGGATAAACATACATATGTTGAAAGAAACACACATGTAGACAAAGGCATTTTAAATATATATTTGAAAGTGACAGAGACAAGAGATACGTGACCTGATAAATAAACACTTCATTCATGCTTTTCTGTCCCTTTACTGAGGGAAGGAAAGCAGGGTACCAGGGGCAAGAGTGCAGAATTAAATGTTAACTGGCTCACAATAGAATGGTGGGAGCAGAAGTAGGGTGCCCCAGGATAAGAAGTGAAGGGTAATAATTTGCCTTGATGTATTACTTGACATTCTAAAGATCTGTCATATATCTGATCACATTTAATACTCAATATCCTCCTGAAAAAAGAAGACAGTCACCTCATATTCAAGTTTGGAAAGGGGAAACTTTAAAACCTTTAGCATCTACCTCAACTCAACTGTTACCTCTTAGTACATCTGTCAAAAGCCTGCTGTTTGCCAAGTGTAAAAAAATCTAGGTTGTACCCTTGCAAGATATTCTGTCAAGGAGCAACCTGTGGTGTGAGGGGAGATGGGAGCTAGGAGACCCTCCTCCGAGTAGCAAGGAGAGGGAGCGAGAGATGTCTGTATGTGGGCCCTACACACAAAAAACATTTTAGAGTAGAAGCTGACTCTGATGAGAGGAGAGCCTCCTTCATCAAAGCTCATTGTACAGCAGTTATAGCAAAGATGGCAAGAGTTTGAAATGGCACATTTGTCTAAGAATTTGTAGAAAACAATGCCACTAACTTTTAACCTAAAACTGCATAGCCATCAAAGTTATGGCTATCTAATTTCCTCACCACCTCTATCTGAAAGATGGGGGAGCAGGGGGAGGGGAAAATAGAAAAAAAAATTTAAAAACAGAAATCTCAAAAAATATGACCATCTCTCCACTCCCAGAAAGTTTTAGGAAACTGAGTTCAATGTTGTTGTCCAGTTCCTTTCCAGCAACTAAGATAGCCATCTTCATGAGCAAGGGCTTCATTCAGCCCAGAGGTACCCCAACATATTTTCTGTCAAAAGGTAAAAGGATCTCCAGTGAGTCTGCTTTGTGTGTAAGACAAGGTAGTGTTTCTCCCAAAACACCTAATAGGAACAGGTGGGCCCATTATCAGATGGCCCCAGCAGGCGCCCTCATGGTCACGCCACTGGCTAGGTTGCTCTGTGCCAGCCAGTAACTAACTCAATCTCTGTGCTCAGCCCAGGGATCCAGCTCATGCCAGCACTTTTGCCAGCTGGCCTTGCTTCAGGAGTTAACAGAAATAAATCGAGTAGAAATCAACCATGGTGAAATATAACCTCCCATTAAAAATGACCTCACCAATCACTCTCAGTTTGGTAAATACTCATTTAGGGTCACTTTACTTTTGCATTAAGAAAAAATTGAGTTAATTTTTACAAGTGAGTCATGTACACATATTATTACTAGTAATGGTAGTAAGTGGTCCTCTGACCAACAAAGGAACTGGGATGGATAATGGGTGCACTCCACTCAGATGCCCCATTCATGGACCTACAGGTATGCACACTAGGAACCTTGAAAAGAATTCTTCCTATTTTATTGTTTTGTCTTTTAACATCAGAAGTGAG